TGCCTGCAATCCCAGCTACTTGGGAGGCTGAGGCAGGAGAATTGTGTGAACCTGGGAGGCAGAGGTTGCAGTGAGCTGAGATCGCGCCATTGCACTCCAGCCTGGGCGACAGTGCAAGACTCTGTCTCAAAAAAAAAGAAAGAAAAGGAATGTTACAAACTAGTATGTAGAATGCCTGAATGTCACTGGTGGTATGTGTGTGCATTTTGGAAGATGCCACTGCATCTTAACTTGGTCTCCATTTTTGGCTGCTAGTGCCCATGGAATTTACCAATTCACCCAATTCTGAACCAGCAGAACTCACAGCAATCTGCTGGTTCTTATATCTCTCATCTTTAGAATGAATATGTTCTAGAAAGTTACATAAACAGAACTTCCAAGATTTTTAGATTTCATACAATGGTAACACTTCCAAAATGACTTTGGAGACTAACTTTACAGTGTTAGAAAGTTTAATTTTGCCAAAAAAAAGCTTGAAGTTTTCTCTGACAAGATATATACATATGTGTGTGTGTGTGTGTGTGTATACACATACATATATAATGTATATGTGTGTATGTGTATATATATATAACCCACAGGACTTCCTACATCAAACAGTTGGGAGGGGGACGTCTCAGGATAATATAAGTCATTTAAGAAGAAAAAAATTAGCTTAAGGAAGAGCTCAACATTCTGTTTACTCCTCTGCATTTCTGACTAGTAAAAACTTTGTCATGGACCAGCCACTGTCCGGGCCCAGCACTGGCTGACCACAGTTTAATGGGCTTTGGAGTCAGGCAGATCTGAAAGTCCTGGTTTTGTACTAACTACATGTACAGCATTGGAAATCCACTTAACTCCTGTGAGCCTCAACTTCTCATTTGTAAACTGAGGATATTACTTATTGCCGTCAAGATTAAATACATTTGTAAGATGCCTAGCACAGTGCCTGACTCATTGTGTAGGAACTCATTAGGTGGTAATGACCACCTAATAACTTTTACCACTCTCATTGCATCTAGCAAGAAAGGCTGCTATGAGGATACAGGTATTGATCGACTTACGACCTATGCAACTTACGACCATTCGACTTTACGACCACAATCGCTAGCCACGACTGCTCTGCGTCTGGCAGCGCAAACGTTGCCCAGCTGGGCGTATAACAGTGCAGACCAGCTTCCGGCAGCACTACCATCTCCATGTGCACCATTTCAACTGTTATCCCAGACTCGGTACAGCAATTTGTGTTTTGTGTCTTGGATATTTTTCATCAAACCCCTCCCAATAAACTTCTTATACATTTCGATGCAATGGACCCAAACATCGAACAATTTGCAAGGATTGAACGGACGGCGCACGATGTGTTTCGTCCGTATCGTGAAATTTATGAAGAAAAAAAGAAACATACAATTCAGACAAAGCTCACCATGTTTATGAAAAAACCAACTCCAGTAACCCCAACTGCTGCCTCAGATGATGACATCAATGATCCGCAGCCAAGCACCAGCGGCCAATAAAATGTTTCGTACATGTTTATATATTTTGATATGATTTGCAATTGGGAAAATGTTTCCTATGGTATTTTTTACACCTGTATTTTGTATTTTTGTATGCACCTATATTTTGTAATTTTGTAAGTTTTGCAAATATTAAACCAGTTGCACTGGTAATGCAGTGTTTTACTTAAACCTGATGAATGTAAAAATAAGAAACAAAATGGTGTAGAGATGATACAAATGGCATAAAATGAACAAAGAAAATTATGATATATAACAATAATGAAAGAAAATTATGATAAAATATGACTTAAAGATTTTTATAACATCATTTCACAGTACTGTACATATAGCCTACTCAACTTATGACCAAATCGTGTTACGACTGGTCTGTCAGAACCAATCATGGTCGTTAAGTCGAGCACTAGCTGTACAACATGGAATGCATGGGCGAGTGTGCCACAAACTCCTATGTGTCGTGCAGCTATAACTCCTCCTTTGGGTCTCTGCTTAGAAGCTACTTTCCCAAGGAAACTTTCCTTGACCCACCAGGTTGGGTAAGAAGCCTCTGTCCCTGGTATCACGGCACCTGTCCTCTCCATCTTTTCCTTTGTCACTACAATAAAACTGCTGGCCAACTTTTTTCTCTCCCCAGTAGCCCCATCAGAACTCCGAGAGGGCAGGGAATATACCAATCTTGCTTGTCACTGTTTCTCCACTACCTAGCACATAGTCACTGCCACATACAGAACTCTTTTAATTTGTTAAATAGATATATGAATTGATGAAAGGATTAGCAGGAGTTTTCAAACCTGTTTTGAGGTACTGCGCTTAATGCCTGATTATCTTGGCTATGGGCTTACATCAGCATTTTTCCAATTTTGGTAGTTGAAACTTTAGCAAAGTAAGATGCTCCATGAAAAACTAATTCTTTGATCAAGTAAATTTGGGAAACACCATATTCTACATGCTTACCCAACTTAAGAGATTCAAGATGGATGTTTACATTTTAGTCTTAATAGACGTGTTGCTATAAAGACACCTAGTTGGAGCTGGGTGCTGTGAAGTGCACCTATAGTCCCAGCTATCTGGAAAATGAAGAGGGAGGATTTCTTGAGCACAGGAGTTACAGTCCAGCCTGGGAAACATAGTGAGACCTCATCTCTTTAAATAAGACATCTAGTTATCTTGAACATCTTAGCATTTTTCAAACTAATTCTTTCCAGAAATACTTTTTAATACGTCAAAGAAGACTCTGAGAAATCCTGGCCCGTAGAGGGCTTGGTCTCTGATAAAATATTTCTCATGACTTCTATCAGTTATTTGTCCCGGTTCTCCCTTCCCACTGAAAACTTCATAGCCAAGGATCAAAGGTGGCATGCATACTGGGCTTGACAAAAAGGCTATGTAGACAATATAAAGTTTGAGAAAACTGATAGATATGTGAACCAGTCCAGGAACTGACCAAATGTGTTTTGACATTGACTATGGAGGTCCTCACTTATATCACATGGAGCTTCCACAGTTCTTTTTTATTTTTATTTTTTTGAGACAGGTTCTCACTCTGTTGTCCAGGCTGGAGTGCAGTGGCATAATATTGGCTCATTGCAACGTCTGCCTCCCGGGTTCAAGCAATCCTCCCACCTAAGCCTCCCAAGTAGCTGAGGCTACAGGCACACACCACCACATTCATCTAATTTTTGTATTTTTTGTAGAGACAGGTTTTCACTATGTTGCCCAGGCTGGTCTCAAACTCCTGGGCTCAAGCAATTCACCCACCTCAGCCTCCCAAAGTGTTGGGATTACAGGCGTGAGCCACCGAGCCCAGCCAGCTTTCACAGTTCTATGCACGTACATGATTTCAATTGCTCTTCCTCCTCTTCCTTCTGCTTTTTCTCCTTCCTCTTCTCCTTCTCCACCACCACTACCATTACCACCATTAATATGGATAACACACTGCCTATGCCAGGCACTGTTCTAAATGTTCTCTCTATATTAACTTATTTAATCCTCACAACAATCTTATGAGGGAGGTGCTGATGCCACCTCCATTTTACAGAGGGGTAACTGAAGTGTAGAGAGGTTAATTAAGCCACAAGTTTGTAAGATGAGTAGAACATTTTACCGATTTATACTAAGAAATTTTACTGACAGAAAACTGAGACTGAGCATGTAAGCGATGTGTCCAGACGAAGCAGTCTGTAAACAGTCATGTCTGTCTTATTCCATTGCAAGCTCTTTCTACCACATCAAGCTGTCTCTTGGTGTTAATAGTATATTTGTGAATTACTTTATAGTTTACTAAGCACTTCCACATCTTTTATTTCATTTAAACCTTCTGACAATGCTTACACAAATATCTATCTTTTAGATTGTGAGACTGAATCTGAGAGAGTTCCCATTACTGGTAATAATAATGATGATAAAATTAATAACTGTCTTCTACTTTTGATGAACTGACTTGCTTAGGGCAACAGAGCTCAGCACGGGCAGATATGGGGCTCAGACTCAAGTCTTCTGATGCCAAGTCCAGAGTTTGTTCCACCCTTGGAAGATGGGTCTCTCCAATATGACCATAGCACGATTAGCCTAGCTGAGGCAGAGGAGAGAGGTTTACAGCATCAGCTTGGCATTCAGTTGGTGTGGCTTTTAAAATGACTCAACATCTGCCATCAATTAGACTTCCTGTTGCCACGGTGATAGTTTATTATTGCTAGGCTGATAAGACGGCCAATGCAAGAAGACTATCTTCCTCTTTTTCCCTCCAACTCTACAGCAAAGTTTCTCCCTAATCTTTTTTTTTTTTTTTTTTTTTTTGGAGTTTCGCTCTTGTTATTCATTTTTTTTTGCTTTTTTTTTATTTTTTTTTTTTTCTTTTTTTTGTCCTCTCATCTAACATAGTGGACCTTCTGCCATATGATAATGATACAGTAGTTCCCAAACTGGGAACCCTGTTGGACTCCTGACGATAATCTTTGGAGTTAATGAGAGTTTTTTTCCTTTTGCTTAAAACAGAGGATGTGTCAGACCAACTTTGGTTCAATTCATCTCTGACACTCATTAGCCCTCTGATCATGAACAAATTACATAATTATCTTCCCTGGACCTTATTTTTTCATTTGGAATAAGTGATAAGGAAACCTAACTGGTAGGGTAATTTTGACAATTTTCTGTAATAAATACAAAGATGTCAGCAATGTAGTGGGTAATCAAGAAATGACATAAGTTGTGATAATTAAAATAATAGCAGTTATTATTTACAAAGAGGTGAGATGAGACAGATTTAGAGTTGGGAGTTGGGGTCATTTACTTCTGTTCATGTACCAATAATTCTAATTTTTCCTTCCATTGAACCTGTTCTTTTCCTTTACAGCATTTAACCCAAGATATATTTATTTGTACTCTTTTTAACTGTCTCTTCCAGTCAACTGCAGACACGTTAAGGATTAGGACCATAGTTATTTTGCTTATCATTATACCTACGGGGGTATTTGTTGAATGAACGAACACATATTTACCAAGCAGCTACTCTATGTCAGGCTCCGTGTTAGCCTTTGGAGATGCAAAAATCACTTGAGCAAGATTCTTACTCTTGAGGCATTTGCATAAGGGGTCTGTGAAAATAACAAAAATAAAGTAACTGAGGCATTCATCTTTGAATCCAAAAGGGTTTTTTTTACAAATCCAATGACATAAATGGAATTAAATCTTCAGTAATCTTCTAGCATGAAGGACTGATGTCGGGGTGGTATGGATTATCTCAAGGCTCTAAGTACCAAGAAGAATTCAAACTGGTGGTGTTAAGTCCCCAAAGTAATCAGACTTTCCCTTTGAAACATACAGTTAAAAAAAAAAAAAAGAACAAAAAAGAAAGGGAAGGCTTTTCTGAGGGCCAGCTCATTGACTCCTCCCAGAACAGTCTGATCCCCTCTGCTAGTGAAGCAAGAGGTCAGATCCCCAGACGGAAAATCAATCTCCAAGAGTGGCTGGATAGAATTTCTAATTCTCCAGTGCCACGACACACAGTCTGTTTCCAGCCAAGGAGAATGGGGCCCAGAGGCGTTACCTTCCCCAACCCACTGTACATTATCAGGTTAAGCTGACACCCCTCCCTGCCTGGAGCACACAATGTCTGACAGTCGCACACACACAGGCACAGCGATCCCATGGTGAGGCCTTCCAACCTGCTTTTCTCAAGGTAGGCTAGGCTATTTTGAAGTGACTTTATTATTGAATTATTAAGTATCATTACTAAACATTTTAAACATTTTGGGTTATTTCCTTTGAAAAGATCTAGTCCAGTGCTTATGTTCAGCAGAGACCCCCCAAGGCTGCCAGGCAGTGGGGAAAGGGGGTGTGATAAATAAGCCAGAAGCAGCGTTCACCTTCTGTTTTATTTTTGAAAACCGGAGCCTGATTCTTTCAGTTTAAAGATGAGGAAACTGTGTCCCAAAGATGTAGACCTCTTGTTCCAGGTCATACACTGAGTTACTAGTAATGGAACAGACTCTAATGACAGAGGAATCAGTCTTTGAAAAATTAGAGCAAGTGAGAATCATTAAGGAGCAATTTAGAGTCAGAGCTAATGTGCACAAGTAAAGTTGTTTCTGGAGACACAGATCAGATTTTACCTGCTAGGAACTTTAAAACTCAGTTCATCCCCAGCAGTGCCACTGCTTTAAGTGGCTGCCTTTCTGTGTAACTAGTCATAGGTGGCTGCCTTCTTAGCCAGCTTCAGGGAGATTACAAAGTCTTTGTAAAACTTCATCTCCAGTCTGCTACAACACAAACGTACCCAGCACCGACTACCTGCTAAGGATGAGTAAGACTTGGATTCCTATCTGGAAGCTCACACTTGAGTAAGGTCAGCAAACACGGCAACATCTAACGCCAGAGCGAGAGATGCGCATATAGGGGTAGGGCTGTATAGAGATGGGCCTCACCAAGATGAGTTTCCCAGAGGAACTTTACAGAGATGGGTTTCAGTATTTCACAGTGAACTGACCACAGAGAAAATTTGGGTTCGTATCTGAGCTTCACCTCTCACTAGCTATCTAACCTTGGGGAAGCACTTGCTGTCTTTGTGATTCAGGTTCCTCGTGTGCAAAGTACAACTAATATCAGAATCCTATGGGATCGTTGTGAGGACTAAGTGAGTGAATAACCAAAAAGTGCTTAAATGGCAGCTGGCACACACTAAATGAATCCCCTCTCTCACTTTTAGGGGCCCCTTGAAGACAAGAGTCCCAGCGCCCCACCATACTATAATATGCTGGAACCTCACAAAGGCCTGTTGTTTCCTAGCCATTGAAACACTTGCTTCAATCTCCATTTTAGGATTTTCTATAAATTTCTCCTCCAGCCTCTGTAGCGGTTAGTCAGTTTACTGAGACGAAGACAACTGCAGTAGTCCAATTATCCAAACCAGTCTGGTTTGCCAAGATCTCTCTTCATCAGAGACGCTAACAGGTGAAAATGACAGAGCCAACTTGGTAGGAATTTCACTGCCATCAACTCCATCTAACACACAGGCTCCTCTAGGGCTAGATGTCAGGGAGGGGGTTGGGGGAGGGAGGAGAGTATAGATTTTGAGCTGGTACAAAGTGGCTTGCTCCCCATCTCTCAATGACATTGCTTCAGAAGGTGCCTTCTCCATCCTGAAATTCTCAAATGTCTTATTTTATAACACCCTGTACGCAAATGAACTGTAGTGAAAGAGGATAGCATTCTAGGGACATTTAAACAGTATTCCCCTTCTATTTCAGAGACTCTTCAAAACTGTTAGAGATAAGTAATAAACTTTTATTATTACTCACAGGTTGATTTTTTTACAAGCTATTTTTCTGAAGCAGAAAGCAGTATTTTCTAAGAAGCACTTAATGTTGTTAATTTTTTTAAAAGTGAGACTATTAGCTTGCAACATTTTTTTAAGACAGTTAAAGGATGAGGGAATGCTGAGCAAAGGGTACGCCCAAGACTGCTGATCAGATTCCTAATTGATCTGTTTGTGGTTAACAACCCCCACCTGTAATCAACTGTGGTCCTATCTATCCAACTTTCTCTTTCACTACTCCTGAACTAGGACGTTTCACAGGAGTCACTGTTGATCTCCGTTCTGTCTGCATCTCTTCCTTTGCTCTCACCAGCAACTCTATCTAAAGGGCCCTCTTCCTGCTGGTTTTCTGCCTTTTCTAAGTTAATGTTTCCACTCCAGCCCATTTCAAGCCCCATTTCTTACAAAAAGCCAGGCTTCTCTTTCCTGCTGGTAGTCACTACCAGAGAGTAGATTATGCAATGGCGCTCTCTGGTTTCAGGTCACTTTATATATACTTCTCTAACCCAACTGTCTGTTCTTGGAAGATGGGGAACCTGGCCTTGCTCCCCAACCTTTAAAAAAATTCTAAGCTGGGTGGGGTGGTTCATACCTGTAATTCCAGCACTTTGGAAGGCCAAGGCGGGTGGATCACCTGAGGTCAGGAGTTTGAGGCCAGCCTGGCCAACATGGTGAAACTCCGTCTCTATTAAAAATATAAAAATTACTCGGTGTGGTGGGGGCACCTGTAATCCCAGCTACTCGGGAGGCTGAGGTAGGATAATCATTTGAACTCAGGAGGCAGAGGTTGCAGTCAGCCAAGATCATGCCACTGCACTCCAGCCTGGGCAACAGAGTGAGACTCCGTCTCAAAAAAAAAAAAAAAAAATCCTAAAAAACACTTGGTCTTATACCACATATAGTCCAGTTCTTGTATGTCACCAAGTGGAAAGAACATATGCTTGGGGACAGAAAATCCTGCATTCAAATTCTGGATTTAATATAAACATTCAGTGTGAACTTGGGTAAGTTCCTTTACTTTTTTGAGTCTGCTTTCTCATCTGTAAAAAATGAACACAATAAACTTTCCACATAAACCTGTTCTGAGAATTAGGTGAATAAGGTTGAATATTGTTTCTGTAAGGTCATTTCTACAATACCAGGGTAATATGAATTATGTGTGCAGTTTTCTTACTATCTGCTTTAAAACTGACAAAAAGCTTAGAAAACTCTGAGGAACAGATATAAGTTCAATAAACATAGGTTCCCGGATATATAAATGTAAGTTGCTAAGACTACTTCTTAATAGCAGTGTGACTCTGGGAAAATCACTTGCCCTCTCTGAGCCTCCATTTCCTTATTTGGGGTATGAGAATAATCACATACCTATTATAGCGACTTACCTAGAATAGTGAATGGTCCAGGGCTCTGGCTCAAGAAAGAGGAGTTCCTATTCCTTCTGACCAGACACTACCTTGTACTGTGCTTGGATACAACTTGTACTCGAGTCTTGTCTCCTCGGAGAGGAGGTAAGCTACCTGAGGTTCCGGGCCTCAATGCCAAACTCAGTATTGGCAGTATTCATCAAAGATGCATAGGTCAATTTCTTGTCTTTTGAGCTTTAGTTAGTACTTCTCTCTGTGATAACCAGCCATCCCTTCTCCAGTTGTCTTGGCTCATTCCAACATGGAGAGGAGAAGAAGTGAATTCTCTGTAAGGACTATTATCTCTTTTAGTATTTAAAAGCAGTGATAGCAGTCAGAGTCCAGTCAGGGTAGCTGAAACTACTTTAGGTCTTTCAACAGCAGGAATTAAATATAAGAAATTAGTTTCACTGGTGACATAAGAAACCTAGAAGCCAAACAGGTTGTTGAAGCCACACAGAGGTTACCAACAGCAGAAAGCTGCTACCCCTCTTAGGAATCAAGGGATGATAGGAGGCAGTGATGGGACCAGAGCCAGGAGCAGGGAATGTCAGCCTAGAATGGAAACCAAAGAAAAGCTGAGTGGCCAGGACTGGGACCTGAGAGAGTCTGGGAGCTGGAATCAGACAGAAGATGCAGCTGCTGCTGTAGCAGTGGAGAAATGACCTAACTTCTGCCTGCATGTCATTCTCCTACCAGTATCTCCCCTTGGCCAAACCTACCCAGAGGTCGGGTGCAAGAGAACCTACGAAGTGTAATACACAGCAGAGCAGGGGAAGAGGCACTCGCCGAGAGCAAACAGGCAAAGGACCAGCCCGGCTATCTTCCAGTAATGTATGTAAAGCATTAATACAGCATGTAATTTATAGTCAGCTAATAGTAATGATAGTTATCATCATAAATATTACTATAACTTTGTATACCTCTCATTGAGAGTTTATTCATGTGAGTAACTGTGCCAAATGCTTTATACATATCATCTAATTTTCACAACAATTGCATGAGGTATGTGCCCTTAATAGTCTTATTTTTATACATGAGTAAGTAGGCTTAGAGAGGTAAAAGGACTGATCCAGTGCACAGCTACAGGATTTGAAATATGGCCCAATTTATTACTTATAATATGAATCATACTGCTAATAGTAAAAGACAGGGTACTAGATAAGCTGAACATGAAACTCCTCTCAATTACTGGAGACCTGTATTTCCAGGGCTGAGAGCCTAGAACACTCTGTGAGCCTTAAGTTTGCCCTTAAAAAAAATAGAGATTAAAAAAAAAATAGAGCATAGCAGACCATCTCTCAGGCAAAATATTTCATAGGGTAGCAGTTGTCCAAATGAAAAAAAAAATGTATCACTTAATGTGGTTTATAAAAGTCCACAGCATACTCTCTTAAAGGCAACAGGGTATTTTTGCTATGAGGATGCCAAGTTCAGCAGTCTCTGTGGGCTTGCTGTTTACTGATATTTGATATGCTTCAACATCTGTTGCCCTTCTCGATTGATGGGTGCTTCATTTTAGCACTCATCTGATGCCAGGCTGGTAAAAAGCTTTAGTATTGAGGTCCTGTGAGATACTCCTAGGTCAGTAACACAGCTTTGTTTGCAAAGCGGGCCAAGGGAAGAAATATTCATGGAAAAAAGGTGAAAGGACATGCTATCTATCTACCAAACCGGGTATTCTTGGTAATATCCCTAGGACAAGTGACATCTCCAAAAAGCTATAAACCCAGGCTATCCTAGACACGAAGTCAGGTTTCAAGTTATGATCTGGGCTCTGGCAAGGTGGTATATAATGAATTCTTCTGCCTTCTTCTGTAAGAATTCCATGGAAGGATTTATAAGTTCATTTTTAAAGAGATAATAATGTTAGAATTTGGCATAAGGAAAAATGTGGTCTCTTTTAAAGAACAGGTATACTTCCTTGACTCCATATGACTTGACATATTTCCCAGTTTTGCCTTGGTTGCTTGAAGTTCAAAGTAATCCCTTAGAGGATTGCTTGAACAGGTGTTCGAGGCTGCAGTGAGCCATGATTATGCCTCTGCACTTCAGTCTGGGCAATAGAGCGAGATCCCATTAAAAAATAACAAGAAGAACTGCCTAGTCCAGGTCAGAGACCCATAGATATGCCAGATCTGTCCCATAGGTATTTGGTGTAACACTCACCAATCCAGAGTTAAAACAACCTGAATTTCAACATCCCGTGGCAGTACTTTGAATACAAATATTAGTAATAACACTTTTCTAGTACTTTTTTCTTACCTAACACAGAATCAAATCACCTTGTCCTTTGCTGGTATCTTCCCAAGTTTGTATGGCCTGAGTGGCCCCTTAAGGCATTTGAGTTAGAGGATGCCCCCCCTAGTATAAGGGATTGGTGTATCTTCCTCTTTTTACATTGTTTCTAACTTGTGAGTTTTATTCCAGTAGCCTACTTAGTCACTTTTTGTATGCTTTCTTAAATCCTTTGTGGAAGCAGAGTACGAATAATAAACAAATAAACTGTTTAGTTCCCTAAGCAAAACTGCCAAGATCAGTGCAGCAGCTGCATTTCTACTGCATCCTAGGGCTAATGCTCCCTGGCGAGTCACTTGCTTCTGCTCTACCTGCCCCACCTGTCAAAGGGTCACCACAGCTATAGGCTCTGCCCCATCATTCCCTCAAGCAGAAAGAAAGAACTTCTTCCTCAGTAGTGAGTGAGAGGTCTGGACATATTGAGGAGTATCTACCCTGTGACATGCAAATCTAGCACGTGACACACAAATCTAGCTATAGGTGCCCTCCAAAGCATGGGACTGTGGGGGATATGCAGAGGGCAGGGCTGGAGCCAGACCACTTAAGTTTAAAACCATTTTTCTGCCACTAACCATCTGGGTAAACTTAGGCAAGCTTTTCAATAACTTGGTGCCTCAATTTCTTGCTTAATAGAGATACCACCTACCCCTTATGGCTGTGGTGAAGATCAAGTGAACACAGGGAATGATAAAAGTACTTTTCTGCTGAAAAGGATTGTGCTAAATGTGCTTTCATTCACAGAACACTAGCAGAAACTCAATGGGGTCAGTTAATATGGAACTGAGCTCAGAGAAATTAAGTAGCTTGCCCAGCCAGGATTGTTCACACAGCCAGTAAGTTGAGGAGATGCCATCACCATGGGGTTCAGCAACGTGACTTAGAGAACTACTTTCTGCTGCTCCATTTGATTTCCTCTTACCCTGCCTGTGACGGACTCAGCTCACTTACTCTTTCCACTCCTCTCCCCACATACTTGGCAGGTAGTTGCCACAATATCACAAGACTGAGGATCCAGCAGTTATTACTAATATTTACTATGTTGAGCTGAAATGGAGAGAGATTTGTCCCGAGTTGAGGCCCAAGCTCCTTCCTCTGCTTTCAGAGGAGTCACTTTGCAGCAAAGATGAAAAGCATAGGCCTGGGGGTCCCACAGCACCCTGAATTCTAGCTCTATCACCAGCTAATCCTCCAAGGCCCAGTTCAAAAGTTGCCTCCTTTGGAAGACTTTCCCAGCCCTCTTAAGACAGTGGAAGACACTTCTCAAATGCTCCATCATTCCATTGTAGAGTAATTGCAATTTAAACCAAAATAGCCAACATTAATAAGACTATTTTGCTTTATGTATAGTCACATTTACTCCTTACAATATGAGTTATGAGATAATATATCTCTGCTGTTATCTTTTACAGGTGAGGCCTCTGAGGCATAGAGAAGCTAAGTAACTCACCCAAGGTAAGTGGTAGAGCCAAGATTTGAGTCCAAGCAAATAGTCTTTGCCATTACACCTTAGAATTTTTCATAACTGTATCCATCTGTTCCAACCTCCCCGCAACCTGTAGAATGGAAATTCCTTGGGTACCAACATTGTGTCTAATTCTTTGATGTCCTGCTACTGTCTAAGGCTGCTCCTGTCACATGTAGGCTTGTGCTGATGAGCCTTGGCTTAAAAAATGAAACAGCCATCCTCATCACCTACTTTGAATCAAGGCCCCCACACACGACTTTTCCAGATCTAGTCCACCGTCATCTGTCAGCCCAGCTATCACAGCCCACCCAACCTCCAGCAGCGGAGGAGAGCAGAAAATGCATCCTGGTATTACAGGAAGGACCTGAGTAAAAGGTACATTAATAGGGGCAAAAACAAGCCAGTGGAGTGATTAATTTGGCTTCCCCTTCAATATTCTGTTTACACAAGTTCATTATATAGCACTTAATTACTAATTTGCCCTACTTAAACCAAGAGTGTTTTTAATTTTTAATGACATAAGGGAAGAAAATGCCTTTACTTAGTAAGGAGCAGCTATTTTATTTCCTTCTCTTGTTTTGCCCAGCCAATTAATAACATTTCTAAGGAAATGCATCCTTCTCATGAATTCTTTCTCCCTATCTTCTTCCTGACTTCCCAGGCTTAAAAAGAGATGGCAACAGACAACAACCACTTAGAAACAAACCGGATTCATCTCTGACCTGGCTAGCTGGGCTGGGCAAGGCCTTGTAACATGGAGTAACATGGTATACATAAACAGTGCTATCTGACTGGGGGGAACTGGGTTGTATCTATTCCCAGGAATCATGATTAGCATATGTATGAGGAACACAGTCATAGGTCTCCATATAAGGCAATCCGCCCAACAACCCTGCTTCATTTCTTGGTGTTAATGTCAGATAATTTTAAACACAGTCCTGGGATAGCTTACAAACAGAGAGGGGCATGGATTTTGGAGTCAGATCTGAATTTGATTGCTGGCTCTGTCACTTGCTAGCTGTTAGACCACAGGCACATTACTTAAACTTTTTGAGCCTGTTTCTTGCCTGTAAAGATGAAGTGAATAATCTAACTTGCAAGAATTGAATGTCATCTAAAGTACCTTAGCACAGTGCCAGGCTCAGATTAGGTACAGACAAATATTCGTTTTCTTCTTTTTAGTAGAATGTAAGGTAGGAAAATCCAAGCAGGGAAAGGGACTCCAGTGTGTTTATCATTAACTACAGAGCAAGGAATCTCAGTGCTATTCAAAGGCCCGTCTGTAATGGTGAAAGGAGTTGGCCCCAGGATGTAAGCCAGCACACCGATTCCTTCATTGAGAACATCTTGCTGCGAATAAAATGACAGCTGAACTAAACAGTACACTTGGTGACATAGTTGATTTACATTCTGATGCAAGTTCCTTGTTTCACAGCAAATCTGAACAAACCATTTAGAGACTGGCCTCTAGTCTGCAGACCGCTCTAAATAGTCCAGGCTGGGTGACTCAGTTGGATGTCTCCAAGTGCTTCTGAAGATCCCTCCCACCCTCCTCTGAGCTTAGAGATGTGGCCTTATACAGAATATATCAACAGGCTCCCTTGCTCTCTGATTCTGATTCCAGCCAACGGTGAGGCTGGCAGGAGATTAGAGAGAGGGAGAATAGGGTTAACAGTGCAGCCCTTTTCTTCCAGGGTCACTGTGCAGTCTCCACACAGCCCTGTTCTGGGCTTCCAGTAACTGCACTGTTTCCTTGCCTCTGCAGGCCCAGCCGTTCCAAACTCCAGGCTACCACATTCTCCCTGTGATTCCTCTATGTCTCTATGCCTGCAATTTTGTAAATAGTTCCTCTTTTAAACCCTCTCAAATTGCTCCAATTTGAGGGTGCTCTCTGTTTACCGGTGAGGACACTAACATTTACCAAAGAGATATTTTAATATACATTTAAATTCTTGTCATCTATTTCTGATACTAGTTTTTAAACTAATGGTAATCACTTAGCCGCATAAGAGTCCATTTCCACTTTTGGCTGGCTCTGTTACTATCTAGCCATTGGCTTTGGTGACTCACTTAACCTCTCCAACCCTGTTACCTCATTTGTCTTTATATACAACTTGGAATATGGCATAACTTTTTTAAATGTTCAAATTTCTTTGAAATGCATACAATTAAAGACATGTTATTCAAGATTGTGATCCCATGATAGTTTCTTATGGTTCATTGCAGAGGATCAAATACCTCTGTTAGGAAACTATAATTATGATTTCTTTCTTTTTCCTTCTGCATGTTCTTGATCATTTGCCTAAATGCTTCAACTGAAACTCTTTTAAGACACTGTACCTTCCACGCTCTGAATTGAACATCAAATTTTTCTAGTAGTATGTATGTGTTTGTGTGTGTGTGTGTGTGTGTGTGTGTGTGTGTGTGTGTGTGTGTGTGTGTGTAGTTATTTTTCAAGGCAACTTTTCCAATCACAGAATATTCCTGATTTAACTAAAAGCCTTGTCTTTCCTGATCTCTTATTTGAATCCATAGCTTAATTTACTGTGTTGCATACTATACAGCATGGACTTCCCTGCTATTCATGAGTTATTTTAGTGTAAAGAAAGAATAACCTATTTCTAATTTATTCTAACAAGAAAGTTCATAATAAAAAGTAAAGGCATAAATAGTAATTAGAGTGAAGAATTAATTACTTACAAACACTTCCTTCTATGAGATAATCTTATACTTTTTTTAGGTTTACATCAGTATGAAATGCCATCTTGAACAAAATCAAGTCAAATAGGCAAAGCTTATGATAGAAAGAGAGTTCTGTAATCCTTCAAAGTTTCTAAGAACTTAGTAGATATTTAGCCATTGTCTGCTTTTATAAAAGCTCAATTCTCATATTCCTGAATAAAAATTGTGGGTGGGGAGGTGAGAGAGATATTTGGGAAAATATGTTTGGTTAGCGTAAATCTTTGTGTTAATAACAACAATAAAGTATGTTTTAATTCAAGTTCTTTTAATCTAACACTGTATTCCTTAATCTATTGTACTTCTTTATTAAAGTATCATTTAATTCATGTTCTTAAAGTGCTTTTTATTTCTACTAAAGTGCTTTTTTAAATCTACCTTTTTTATATCTATAAAAAGTAAACAGGCATATATTATAATTAAAAGCAAATAAGTAGAGCAAAATAACACTGGTGAGTATGATCATTCTCTAATGCATTAGAATATTTTAATACCAAAGAGAGCACTCTTTTTATTTTTATTTCTATGTTGGACACTCAACCAAGCAATGATGACAAATGTGTGATGCTATTTTTATAAACCATACCACCTTGTGAGAGGTAGCTGAGTTGCCATAGTGCACTTCCCTAGCAGTGTATATATATTTATAGGATATGGTCTGATGGAATACAAAGAGCATGGGCTTTGTATTAAGCAAGTTATACAACATTTCTATGCTTCAGAGTCCTCATCTGCGCAAAGGTCACTGCTAACAATCCTGAGTTGCTTCAAGGATTCTATGAATGACAATGGATGGAAAGTAAGAGATCCTGCTCTTGGATCACTCTGTGAAGAAGAGGAGAGTCAAATGATGTGTATCTTCTATTGAAATAATTTCCTTAAAAAATTATAATTTTGAGCTAATGTTTTGACTTTTATATCCATGGTATCATTCTGCAAGCTGGATTGGAACCAGAAATTTTATAATTAATCAGAACCTGATCTATTTTTGTTTTATTCTTTTTTTTTTTTTTTTCTGGAGGGGTAGAGAAAACTCTTTAAAAAATGTATTGTTAACCAGGTATGGCAATAAGGATAATGAATGTTAGAGCCAACATCATATTCTTAATTGAATTCTTCTTTTGACTATTAATTATTATACCATTCTAAAGTTTTCTGTTGACTTTCTGAGGGACTTTGACATATGGGACAGGATACTCAGAAAATTCAATCAGTAATCTGAATCTATTTAATTAGGAATGAGAATCTCATCCAGAAACACATGCTTAAATAGCAAAGGGCAAAAGGCTACTAAAAAAGCTGATAATATCAGGACCATATGCGAAATGAGTAGGATTATAAGAGGCCTGGGGATGAAAGCTAAATAGAACTAAAATGGAACTAAAATCCATGGCAAGAGATTCCTTATACACAAGAAACATAAACCCTGAGTTTTCACATACTATTGATGGGAGTATTTCTATACTATGTATCAGAACTCTAAATGCTAGGCACACGTTTTGCATGCCTCCAATTTTATTTTACTGATATAATTTAGGATATGTGAAAACATTTAGTTACAGAGATATCAGTTGCAGCATTCTTTAAAAACAATGGAGAAAACCTAAATATTCAAGTCTGGAGGACTGGCAAAATAAGTTAAAATATATTCTGGCCAGGCAAGATGGCTCACGCCTATAATCCCAGCACTTTGTGAGGCCGAGGTGAGTAGATCACGAGGTCAGGAGATGGAGACCATCCTGGGTAACACAGTGAAACCCCGTCTCTACTAAAAATACTAAAAATCAGCTGGGCTTGGTGGCATGTGCCTGTAGTCCCAGCTACTCAGGAGGCTGAGGCAGGAGAATTACTTGAACTCGGGAGGTGGAAGTTGCAGTGAGCCGAGATCTCTCCACTGCACTCCAGCCTGGGCAACAGAGTGAGACTCAGTCTCAAAAAAAAAAAAAAAAAAAATATATATATATATATACACACACACACACACACACACATTCTATCAGGTAGAAAATTATGCAGCCTACAAAAATGATAAATAAAGAGGTTTACTATATATTCTGGGGTATAGGAAAAGGTCTATAAAGGTAAAACTTTATGCATTGTATGAATTTTAATTAAAAAGTTTAAAATGATTTTAAAATATGTACAAAAAGACTAACAGCATAGAAAGCATAATATTAAATAGTTAATAATTAAATAATTTAAAATAGTTATTTTAGGATAACAAGATCAGTTTTCATATTTTCTTTCA